TTATAATTTATTACTGTTTATTTAAATTTATTGAATAAAAAAAAAGAAATGTGTGTTATAACATTTCTCTATCTAATTATATTTAAAGCCTACTTTTTTCTTTAAATAAAGATTTAAAAAATTTTAATGTGTTATTGGAAAAAATCTGTTAAATCTGAGGTATTGCTTTTAATGACAACTGTGTGATCCTTATTATCCAACCAAATATTAATTTTAAGAAAAACATAGGAAATTTTATAATTTTTTTCATGTTCATTAGAAAAAAACACTAAAGTTAAAACAGCAAAATTATAAAATGTAGAGCTGCAAATCAAGGGATCAGAAGGTTTAAATTTTTTCAGCAATGTTATTTTATAAGGAGAATTTTCGTTAACATGTTCACAACAAATATAGTTCAAGGGTTTTTAAAAATTAAAAATGCATGCATAATCCCCCCCCCCCAAANAACCCCCCCCCCAAAAAAAAAAAAATATTTAATTCTGTAGAGAAATTTGAAAACTGTCTAAAAGTTCATTTCATTTAAGAAGATAAAGTAAGAAAAACTTCAATTTTTTTATAATTTTAAAATATTATGCTTATTTTTTTGTCTTTTAATTTTTAAATCTAATTGATGTGAATAAAATATTCATTGTGGCCCCTAAATTGTAATTGCCATAAATAATCATTGTGGTTCCATTTTTATAATAATTTTATAATTTAACCATGTCTCTAAAATTGTGTCAAACTGTGCAGCACAGTTTTATGAAGAAAAGTAATAATTTATTTTGATGATTTATAAATTACATTATTACTGTTCTATTTTAAATATGTTTTCGTTTAATTATATCTATATAATTTTCTTCATATATACAGTTGAAAAGTTCAGTGTGAAATTAATTTATTATCCATTCTTTAATTTCTATAACTGTAAACCACCTTACTTAAGACTCAATAAATGAAGTTTTTTCAGGGAATTTACATTTCGGTACTTTTTGGTTGGCCAAGCGTAAGTAAATTCAACTATTTTATTTAATTTTTTTTATTATATATATATTTTTTAATGTCTTAAAATGAATAAAAAAATTAAATGAAAAAAATAGCTGAAATTATTTGTGCCGACTAACAAAAAAAAAAACCACATTTCTTTTTTAAAGATTTAGTTAGATTTTCATTAATTAATTTTTAATTAATTATCAAAAATTTCTGTTTATCATTTACTTTTCACATTAATGAGGAAATTTAGTATCCTTTTTTGTATTTTAGAAATATATATCGTAAATTTAAACATTATATTGTTTTTTCCACAATTATTCATGTAGGAACTTCGCTATTAGATGAACTACAGTCAAAAATTGTGCCGTCTCCTCAAGTAGGAGAAGAGATCAAAAGTGAGTATTTTTAAATGAATTAGTAAGTAGTAGTAGTAGTAATCATTTGAAATCATTTAAGTTGAGTTGTGGTGACTCAGAAGATAGAGCACTCGTCTCCTAACAAGGTGGCCCGGGTTCAAATTCCAGTAATGGCTGGAATTCGAATTCTGCACCCAGCTTGCACCGAACTTAGTGCTGACATAAAATATTCTCAGTGGTCTACGGATCATGGGTTAAAATCCCTTTGCTGTCAGGCTAACTGTGGGAGGTTTTTGCAGTCTTCCTCTCCACATAACGGAAATGCAAATTAGTTCCGACAAAAAGTCCTCCACTAAGGCAAATTTCTCCCAATACTTTGTTTCTGACTATAGCTTCAGGCACACCATGTCAGTGCTTCTCTTGTATTTTCTATTTCTCTTTTGTCGTCAAATAGTCTGTCCTGTTTTATTGTTAACTGTCTGTTCGGCAATAAAAACATAACCATCCACTTCTAGGCTATCGGATGCCTTCATTCTTTACTAACTTCTCTTGCACCCTTTTGTGTTTCAAAGTTATATTTTTGTTTGTCTGAGATGTTAAAATCAAGTTGGCTGAAATTTCAAATTTTATGGAGGTTTCTGAATTTTTTTTTTTTTTTTTTTTTTTTTTTTTTTTTTTTTTTTNAGTTTTTTTTTTTTTTTTGTAAAATTTTTTATTTTACCTATCCTTTTTTGTATCCTTTACATATTTGTCTATCTAATTTTTCTCTTAACAACAGACCTAGACTGCTCCCATCAAGAAATCCCTAAGTTCTTTTACTCATTTAATATTGCATGATGTAAAGTAAGCTTTCCTCCTCCTCTAGTTCTTTTTTCCCCCTAGGGCCCACGTGATAGCAACAGATGTTATTTCTTTTTCTATTTAGTGATAATTTTTCAACTAATATTAGACTTAGAGATAAGCTTCAGATGACTAATCAATAGTGAATGCAATAGGAAGAAGATCTCATTTTTGTTTTCTTTAGAAACACTGCCTTAGGATCAAATTTTACGTAATATTTTAAGTTCAGTTGTATAAAAAATTAGAATCGTCCAAAAAAAAGGATATAAAATGGCTAGTTTGTTATAATCGCTCTTCACATTTAACTTTAGTTTTAATTCTGTTTTGAAAAAAATATTTTAGATTTTACGCTTAGCATTTTATATTTGAAATCGAAGAAAAGAGACTGAATAATAAAATAATATCATGCAGAATAGAATTCATTTAAAAAGTTTATTTTTATATTTTCTACTTCCTCCTGAAAACTATAGAGACTTAAAATTAATTGCAAAGTTCAGTTTAAAATAAATTATTAATATTGATTATTAAATTTTATTGTTTTGCGACGTGTTCATAATATTAGCTTTTTAGAACATTTTCTCTGCATATAGATGTATATTCATCAATTAAAAATGGACATGCAAAGTGTAAACAAATAAATTATACGACTTCAATATCTTTGAATCCGTCCTATAAGGATGTTCATCATATTTCATCTCCAATTTAATGATTATTCCCTTAATTAAGTTTAATATTTATTCAAGATTACTTAATTGTCTATTATTTTTATACAAGAGTAACTTTATCATATTTCATAGAGCTACTTTAATTTTAAAGGCACTTGATCTATATCAACAAATCAAATTTTGTTTGCTAAATAAAAAATTAAGGAATTTAAAATAATTTTTATGAAAAGTCATGCCTTTTCTTTTATGACCATTATTTTTCACATTTTCCCACTGTTTCTGTTTCTTTCTTCTAATACTGCTGTTATGAAAAATCTTAAATTTTTGTTCATCTCACTTTTAGCATATAGTTTGAATTTTTTTCTTTTTAGATCACTTTCAATATGAAGACTTCTTTCTTGAAAAAATTGCAAAGAAAAAAGAAAACCATTCTTATCGGATTTTTAAAAAGGTTAATCGCTTAGCCAACAATTTTCCATGTGCTAATGAATACACAGATTCTAAAAAAGAGATAATCGTTTGGTGCAGCAATGACTATCTCGGGATGA